CCCCCCCCCCCTTCCCCCACAAAAGCGCAGCAATGTTTTTATGCTCCGTTGATGCGTCTTGTACTGTACTATGCAGCTTCGTTCGCAACTAGAATCTTTTTTGAGCTGGGAGATGTTGCTTTAGTCTACCAATGCACCTGTTGGTAAGTTTTATATTACAAGCTTCGAACAGGTCTTTCAAAAACGACTATTTGGTAAAACAATGGCCAGCCGTAGCGGTTTTAGAAGAACAAGCAAGAACGATATAGCATAGTGGAAAGTAATTCTTCTGGTATATCCCAGTGGTTTTTCTTTACTTCAATTTGGTTGTGGTTTCAAGTTCCTAAGGAAGTTTCTTCGTGATTGTAGCGTGGGGATCTTGCATCTTTTCCAGACCATAAGGGAGGCAAAAAACAGTAACAGCTTGGCGTGATTCCACCTGACCCGTGCACGCAGATGAAGGCTGTCGCGAGGTTGCATGAGACTGTAAGACTGCGACCACTCGATGTGTAACGGTCAATCTCGATCGTAATTTTCCACAAGACGGATTTAATCGTCCCGTGAATGTGTGACACAGTAACCCAAACACACGCTGAGGTGCCTTCAAAACACCCGTCACATATACGATGCAAAGGAAAGGTACCCCCGGGTGAAGCTCACGGTAGTAGGTGATGGGGTACTAGGGGGTTACGGTGTCAATCATTCACGGGACGTTAAAATCCCTCCAACTAATTTACGGTCCTTGTCCTACATTCAAAACGTTATAAATATCTTGGGATCCAAAGGCCTTATAGAAGAATTTCTTCCATACTTGAAGATCTAGTCACACAAGCGTCCAAACTTAAATACTGCAATCATATAGGCGTCCAGACTAAACATTACTTCTTTTCAGTTGAAATGGAGGTCGATGAGCGGCCAGTATCAGCTGATGTGGTAATCGAAGATGCAGCTCTTGTACAGGCAGATTGGGATCTTGTTTTGAAGTAAGTAATGTAATACCTGTCAACTTCATTCTTCTTAGTGTTGGGCTTTAGGGAAATGTCGAATCCTAAATTTTATGTAGGACGGCGAAAATATGGCGAAGGGTCCGTCTTCGCAAATGTAGAAAAGAGCGGTGACAACTTTGTATGCGCCGATGAAGAAATTCAGATTTCAGTACAGCAGTCTTGTGTGGGTACTGTACTTCTTTCTATTTCTTTTCTAGTTGAAATGCTTGTTTTCGGGTTCACCGCCACCATGGTGTTTTTGTCTCAGTTGGATTCTCCTTTTCAGAACTCGTTATGCTTCGAGTCATCCTCTGTCCGTACATTTTTTCTGTCGCCCGTTTGTGAGATTCGTGATATGCACACCACTTCCATTCAATCAATAGACATCTCCTGCTCAGGAAATCTCATAGTATCTTCTGATGCGAGCGGATCCCTCATTGTTTCCAACGCAATGAACGGAACGCCGTTGGTGGGTTGTATGTCGTTCAATCGTTTCAACGATAATGAAATTTTGTTCTTGAAATGAAGCGAGGCTGGTAATTGAATGTATTACCTCTACCTCTCCTCAGCAATGTTCATTAAACTTAAACCGTTGTACGTGTATGTGTATGTGTGTAGGTGTGTATGTGCATGTACATGTTGCACATACCTGAAAAAAAAGTTGTAAAAGGGATAAAAAACGCGGAAGCCGTACTATTTGGAGTGCACCGACTGGAACGTCATAAGGGGAGTATTTTGATGAGCAGACACACTACGGATCATGAACTCCAACCTTTTCACATTCTTGGATACAACGACTTCTTTAGAACATTGATCTAAATACGCGACCGTGTCTTTCAAATTTGTTTTCAAATGATATTTCGGAAATTAGTTTTCAGCGCGATTTGAAAGGTCATGTTATGGACGTCTACAAATGCCGCTTTTTCCCGAGTGGGCTTGTTGTTCTTTCTGCTGGTATGGATATGACTGTCAAGATATGGTCTGTGGACACCGGGCTTTGTCCAAGAACGTTGAAAGGTCATACTATGGGTAAGAAATGATTGAAAGAACTTTATTTTTGATCAATCTTAATGTTTTCGTCTGCTGATTAGATTAGCGCATTGAAGCGGTGAGCGACATAGCTATTATTGGCGTTGGTCGCGAAGTACTTTCGTGTTCTCACGATGGTACAGTTATCAAGTGGCTGTGTGCTGACGGCAGTCAACAGGAACAATGGAAACCCGAGGCAGGACCTTGCAATGCTATCGCAATTAGTAAAGGTATCTTTTGTATTGCTTGTCCATGATTACAGGGCCATGAAGGATTTTTCTTTGCATAATTCGTTTTTAAGACTCGAAGGTATTTGCTGTATGTTGCGAAGCGAAGAAGTGTATGATGTATTCTGTTGAAGGACCCACAGTGAGTAGTTTTAAAATTTCTTGCTAAAATCCATTCCAATTCCGGGCCAAAAGCAGCTGAGGGAATTCCGCGTATGGGAAGGAGGTCTATTCATCAAAATGGGTCGTACCAAACAATAAATCTTTTAGCTTTGTTACTTAGCAGGCCTGATACTGGAATAATAATTCGATACACCTGAAGACCACAAAAGAAAAGCGTCTCTAAAATAAGAAGCATTTACTAAAAAACTCGTAGCTGTTCAGAGACATTCTGGCATTTAGGAATTTCGTTAAATGCTAATGGGTGATGTGGTGAAAATGTAGTTGGGGGAGGGGGGCATCCATCACAATGTTAGTATATCAAGGAATGGACCAAACGAACCCAATGATATGTGTTATTCCGTGTTACACAGGGAGCACGAAAGTTTTTAAGCAAGCTTAGGAGGGAAGAAGCACTGAGGTGGGCAAATTTTCTTTTTTTTATTCTTTTCGCACAATGTTATTGCTAACCCATACCCTGCCTGGGCTTGGTTAAAAACTACATTTCCGGTTGCTAAAGCCGCACAAAAGCGCACCGTTGGTCGGTACCCATCCTCCTCTTCGTCTCTGATTCAATGCTAATATAACATGGAGTAACACTGCGTTCATTTTGATATACTAACCTTGGGATGTGGTCATTTAAAAACGTTATGGAAAGTGGGAAAAGTCTGCTTAGACAGACGCGGCCGGATAAATAATGGTTTAAGGATTCATGGTTAGTCGGGCGTGCATAAAGTGGGAGAGGTCGAAATCCGAGGTATATGTACAAACCTTTTAGCTAGTTCCTGAGAAGTGCAGGAAAACTTAGTAGACCAAAAGGAAGAGAAGCAAAAAAATTAGTGGTTGGTTACTTTTCCCATTTTCACTTCATGAATCAAACGCCTATGAGACGAAGCAAGACGGAAGAATGGCAAATGTCGTAGAAGAAGTAGCCGCAGACACGAGTTGCATTTGCCATTCAAGTGCAATTGCAATTGACACTTGAGCTCGATTTGTGCTCGGTTTCGCACTCTGTTTTTGCATTAGAAGATAGTTAATGACAACAGAATATTAACATTGCATGACACTCTATCACCACATTTTCTCATACCTGGACGAGTTTCCGCTTCCTCCTCCACAGAGCCACTCCAGTCGCATATGGAGATACTGGTTATGATGATTGACTCTGAGCATAGGACTCCCTCCCTGCACGAGTCAAATACTCTTGGTGCTGATCGTGGCCAGTGGCTAGGAAAAGAACGTGCTGTATAAAGGCGGGAGCTTTTATATGATTTTGATTCCTGTTTTCGCTAATTTCTCAGTACGATTCTACTTGCTTACTTTCACGCCTACCCTTTTCCTTTGATTATGTTGCATGCCAATCGTTGTAGCTTTCAACGATAGTCACTGACAATGTGCCAACAGCCATTTGCATTGACTACGAATCTGACCATATCGTCTATATCGGTGATGAAGAAGGAATGGTGTCCGTTTTCGACACAAGAGCAGGGTGAGTTTTTTTTTACTTCAATTCGCAAATAGCGTGAAACAAGACATGCTTGGCTGCCCACTGCTCACTCATTCGACTGCTTTCTTTGATCGTTATACATCAACTCGAACGATATCAATTGGCAATTCAATGCTATCAAGTGAAAACTGTAGGTTTTACAACATGTGGACCACTAGTCTCCACTTGCTAATATTGAGAAAAATTTGTAGAACTATCTGATACTCCCCAGCACATCAGCCCTTACTTTTAAAATTTTTTCAAAAGGCCGGGCCCTCCACTCCTATGTTTTCGTTTAACAAATAGGTTCTGAGTTCTAAGAAATAAAAATCTTTCTCATCATTGATTACTTTCTTCAGATCATTTATCTACCGTTTACAAACTAATCGTGGTCGAGTGATGAAAGCAGTCACAAGGGATGAGGGTTTATTTGTTGCATACAGTAAGTTTCAGAGTTCCATTTCCATTTCAATGCTGTACAACTGCTTGTCGTGAATTCGTTTTTATTGCTCAATTCTGAAGTTTTTTTAATCATGTGGTGAGTTGCAGGAGACGGATCTGTGTGTTGTTACCCTCGTGACTCTTCGAAAACAAATGTTTCATGTCCTATATACGAGTTCACAGGGTCTGACTGTGATCCAGTGTATGATTTTTGTTTTCAAAAGAAACATCTTTTCACAGCAAGCAGGGACAGGGTAGTGAGGAAATACAGAATTTTGTAAAGTGAGCATGCGTTGTAATTACCACACTTTGCTGTTCAAGTTTGCGGTGATTTCATTTTATGCATGTGCGGAACGTTTACTGAATGATTTGTGCCATTTCAGTGCAATTTTCCTATGAATAAAACCTTGTTTCTGGCCTTTTCTGGAACAAACAACAGGTGCTCTCCTGTGCTGAGAAATCAAGACGAAGATGTACTTAACATTGAGGCTTTACACTCTTCAAATAATTTATTTGATTAGGATGCTCAATGACGGTTTGCTAATTCGTCGACTGGGGTTACATCTTCGCCAACTGCGATTTAAAACAGTAAAGTTCAAGCCGAAGGTGAGATGGCACGAAATTTCTAAATGGAGCAAATAGCAAAAGGATTCGGGACAAAAGCTACCACTGCACACTTTTTTCTAACTATCAGAAGCATTTCCTTTGATTGCTTCACCATTCACCGCAGAACTTCGTAGGGAAGATAGCGAAAGACCTATTGACAGTTCGGTCAGTTCCTTTAAGTGACAGTACAATCGGTCCCATTACTCATGTTCCACTTATAACTTGTTCATGAATCTTTTCTTTCAACAACTTCACTACAGCTATTGTAGTTCGTTATGATATTTGGGTTAGAAAAATGTAAAGCCGTCCGAAAATTCTGCTAGATTTCTTTCAATTCTTCAAGCAACTTATATTTTCAGATAGCGAAAGCTCAGGCGCTTAAGACTCCATCTATGGTTGCATTAGATCACTGTGACTTCTATTATGGTCCCATGTTCGGCAAACACTGGCCTAGTATTCGACTTGGTTTACTTTCTCCCAATAAATATGTGGCCGTTATGAATACGTTCTCGAGGTGATTACGGGAAATACCTGATCCTTTCACTCAGCAAGGTTTCGACATGAAACATTCAAATTTCTAGAGATTGCGCTGTTCACGAAGAATTTCTGAAGCAGTCGGGCACGATTGATCTTCTGGCGAAAATTCGCGGCAAGACTGCGGCTGAGCGAATAGAGGAGAAGCGACAACGAGTGAATAGTATTGCTAGAAAGGAGACAGAATCTGCTCTCAAAAAGATGGTGAGTCCTGTTTTAGCGCATTCTGTCCGTTTGGAAAGCAGACGTACCGAATCTCTTACCTTCCGAGGTCAGGACACGTCTGGAGGATAGAAGGTAAAAATATTGACCTGTACATTAGCTGTGCATCTATCGTTCGGAAGCAACTAGTATAAAATACCAAAAGGATGTAGAGCACCCTCTGAGCACTTCCCGATAAGGCGTTGAGAGCATGGAGGAAAATTTCATGTCGCACATGATCTAATGGTCGAACCTGCCCTTTTACCAAGCGTCCCTTTTCTTCGGGCTCTGTGATTAGGATGTGGTTCCCATCTTGCTTTTGAAATGGTGATTCATTGCTCCTCTCACGATATTCTAAACAAGGTCTCTAAATAGGGCAAGGATTGCATCAATTGTGTAAACATTAGGAAGGCGAGAAATGAAATATGAGTGCATATGAGGAGTGATGGCTATTATCGAATATGAACCCAACCAGTGGGATCGACAGGCTAACGCCGGGCTCTCCCACTTCCCGTGTCAAGTTGGCCTGCTGCCGACGTCCTTCCAGAGTTGGGCGCTTCAGTGCAGGGGAACAGGAATCATTTTCGACCGAACACACATACACACTTCATGAGCGTCCTGCACCTCATGAGCGGAATCTTGCTCAACTCATGTGTGTTTGAATGACTTTGCTCATTTTCTCTTCTTCAATCTTCTGTCGTGTCACCTGCCATCAGCATTCCCGTACTGCCGCCAGTACACCAATCGAGTCTTTGCGTTCTGGGTCCAATTTGGCAGGTTTCACGGCTCTTCCCTTCTAGAGAGGGTCTAGTTTGCCAACTGCCATCAGTGTTTCCATTCTGCCGCCTGTACTCCTACCAAATTTGAATGCTCAAAACCCGCGGGAGCAGGTTTTATGGATTTCCATCAAAGAGCTGCGTTTACAGCTATATTCCTTTACATCTCTTCAACGTCCTCGGAGGTGGAACACTGCACCGCACAGTGGAATAATAAGGCATGATCATCACTGATCAGTCATTTACACAACAGATAGGTTTAGCAAATTGGTATATCTGCCAACATCCCCTCAAATCAAATCCCACCACACGAATACCCCAATCTGAAGGGAGTAAAGCTATAGATTGACGGTGCATAACGTAGCAAGCTTCTGAACAGGAATGCCGGCTTCGGATTCTACACACGTAGTCCAGTCCCGCCGTCTGTTTCTCTGCTTAACTTGAACGGCCTAAGTTCACAGGAATAATTTTCGTGCGTGCAGCGTCCTCAGTAGACGGAATCTACCCCTGACACCTACCATAAGTGATCGCATCATGCCGTCTGTATCCCTCTAAAGCGATTTCGTGCATGCCCTACCCCTAGTGGGTGGACTCTGCTCCTGCAACTTACTCTCAAAGTTACCATCTTGCCGCCTGTACTCCTACCAAATTTGAACGCTCAGGTGCACGGGAACAGGGACTATTCCGTTTAAACAACTTTTATGGCGTGCCACACCCTCCATGGGCGTAGTCTAGCTCAGATCGTGTGCCCTGAGTAGTTCTACTCAATGCCCACTTGTTCCAATCTACATAATCTGTTTCACTCCACATACAGGGTGGTGATTAAAACATTAAGAGACGGAAAGACCGACAGACAAACGGACATTTGTGGCTTATATGTAAACTAGACGAGAAGCAATCCCAGTGGTACACAAGTCCCCACTCCCCTACCACCGCATTCTAAAGAATCACTTCGTTGCAAAATATTGGAGCCCATTATTATCTAAAAAAGATGTCGATCACTTTTTCAAGTTACAGTTTCGTAACTTTTGGAAAAAGGCATAATTGATTTGGGCAGAGGATGAGAGTATGGTGTTGATCTCTGTGGATATATACGAAGGCACAGCTCACGATAATTTTAGGTAACCTATTAGGTTGATTAAAAAGTTTTGATCGCCTTTTCAATTTTCACTCTAAAAAGTCTTTGAAAGAGGATCTCAATTAGTGATGTAATCTCCATCGTTGTCATAAACATAGGTCTAGCGATCCGGCAGTTTCTTGACTCCTGAAGCCCTGGACGGTGGCGGCTGCGATCCGGTTGGAGATCTCATTTTTGTGTTCCGCGCAATCATCAAAATTTCTACCGCGAAGGTGATTTTTCAGAGCAAGAAACAAAAGGTAATTGGACGGAGCGAGACCTGGCGATTAAGTAGAATGAGGCAGCACTGCCTATCCAAATTCGGCAATTTACTGACAAAACAATTTCGCAAAATCGGTTGGGCGCTTTCGTGGAAAAGCAATCATTTTCATGCTGCGGACGCTTCCTTCAAACAACGTCGGCCAAACTCTGTAGCTGAGGAGCGCAAATCTCGGCGGTCACGGTGGAACCCTCATTAAGTTATCCAAAAGGATCGTTCCTTGAGAATGTCCACCGACGACTCAGTAAAGCCTTCCTTGGGCATAGTCCACTTCTCTGCTAGTCTTGGAGGTGTTTCGTCATGAGGCACCCGTAGGCGTTTACTCAACCTAATAGTTTTGGCACCTACAACGGTATGCTTATATATCCCCCTAAAAATACAGGTTAGGGATCGGTCTACCATTACCAAGTAATGGAAGTGATAGTCTAGAAGAAAGCAAAATTAGCGAAGAAAAGCGAAGAAAGCGAAGAAAGTCGGCGTATTTAGATAAATATTAGGCTTCGAAAAGAGGTAAAATTTGGGGTCGAACGAAAACGCTACGAAAAAAAGCTGCATGGAGAGGGTGTTTTGACGGTTACAAGACAAAATGAACCTTTTCTGCGCTCTTTCTTGCAATATTACTCTTTATAAAGAACAATATGCATAACAGCCGTTACTCTTTATCAACATTAATTCACTGCCATGGGTTTCGAGTGATTTTTATATTGAAGCCGTAGTTTCAGGAAGTTGAGCAACCAGAAATGCCTTCCACAAATCGCGAAGATCCTATTATGCGTTCCGCAGCTGGCTTGGGCGACTTTGAACCGCCTTCGCAAGTCATAAGCGCTGGGGAATTGCAGATGGGTAAAAGGAAAGAGAAGACGCAGAGACTGGAAAACTTCCAGTAAGAATACCGTACAGTTATTTTGAATTTCCCTCCAGGGTGTCCCCGAATTATGAGCGCTTTCTTATTGCAATATTTTTTAAGCCTCTGGGCTGAGAATAACAATGAAGTCTATATGCATATTTGCTTACATTGTGTGCAACTGCAAGCAACAACCACATTTAGAAATATCTATCATGAGCACGGATAGGGGCCCGAAGCTCCTCGCAGGTTGTACGCATGCAGGCGAGCGTTGTACCCTTTACCAATTCTCTCCGGCTGTCCTTTAATCTTGCTTTCAAGGACTCCAAACTGCGATGGCAAACCGTACAAAATCCTCTCTAATCAAGGATCTCAAGGAGAAGTCAAGCTGATCAATAGAGCAGGATAGCCATTCCTGCAATGGCTATCTTGCTCTGCAGACGGTGCAATTGAAATCGAGCAATTGGCGTCGGCACTACTCTTAGTCGAGCTTAGCTCTGTGAACTGGCGTACCGTTTTACTCGAATGACCGAGGAATGTTTCAGGAAGCGGAATCGGACCTAAGCGTTTGGCTGTTCATTAGTATGCTATTTAAGTACGCGTCTTTTACAGCTTCCGCCCGGCACCGACTAGACCGACGTCGTTTCACTACTGCCTATGGCTTCCTCCCTGAGCGCCTTCATTTTGCTGTTCTTATGACTACTTTTTTGGCGAAGGTCTGCACTTTGCTTTTACGACATTTCAAACGCAGCGGTTTATCAGTTGAGAATTGTCTGAAAAAATTTAAAATTTACGGTGAAGGGACTCATGATTCCATTAAAGTGAATTAGCACCCTTCTGCATTTTTTGAACCTACGCTGTTTGTTGAGCTAGAGAATGAAGTGGCAATTTTGCATATTAAAGGAATGGCAATGAAGCTTCTGACTGATAATTCGCCCTTTCGGCAACTTTGTCAAATTTTGCCTCGTTGCCGTTCTTCTGATGGGACACGCCGATCACGGTCGACTGGCAAGCGAACTAGCTCAATGGTCCTCTCCCTCTGAAAAATTGGCTTTTCTACCTCTCATGCTTGGCCTTTGGTTGAATCAGCTTCTCTGTATCGTTTATCAACCTTGTTCAAGTTTGTTATTGGAATCACAAGAAGTTTTACTATGCCCTGCCAACTCTAAAATGGGAATGATTGCAAGTAAACCCACTTATTAATATCGATTGAGGTAAAATTATATCTGTCATGGAAGTTTCTCAGCTTCAGCGCTCATAATTTTGGTACACTCAGTACATGAGTCCTCCCAGCGTTCTTCCAGAACGTCCGGCTTTGGCAACTTTGCTAGTTACTTCTCATGTTTTCGAAACTCAGGATCACGGGTTTCGAGGCCGAAGGAATGGAGTTTGTTCGTCGGGAGCACTTCATTTACTATCCGCGAGAACTGCGTTTGCGAATTCATGATCGCGGGGTTCTTGCAGATTTTCCACCACCAATAAAAGATGCTAGCGGCATTCCAAGTAAGTCGTTTTGTTAGTTGATATTAACTGATAGCAACAGAAAGCATTCTGAAGTGATTGCATTCACTTTTGGTAAACTAATTCTATATGCACAATGATTCTGGTGTAATCGAGTGAAGACGTATAGACTTCTTTATGATACTTATTTATTCAGTTTTTCAGGCTGGTGGCTTCTTGACGGCGGTTCTCTAGTGCCTGTATTAGCCCTCGGTTTGGAGAAGGGCGACACTTTGCTGGACGTCTGCGCTGCTCCAGGAGGAAAAAGTTTGCTAGCATTGCTAACGAAGCTACCGAGTGAGTACTCAGTAATGAGCAAGGTAGAGTCGATTTCAAATGCGTGAGACGCTATGTAGTGAATGGATTCTAAGCTGTGCCAGTAATCTGACTGTATATCTATTTGGCATATATAGTCGCAGATCGGTGCAACTTAAAAAGGGGGTAATATCTACCAATCACGGGGAGTGTTCCTGAATGTCATCGAGGAGGCGCAATCATTATTGTAAAGCGAAACTCATTTGAATTTTGCTTGAAGCCTACTCTTTCATTGAGTTTTACAATACATTGATTTGAGAATGGAATGGAATTTCTGTGGATAAAGGAAAGCTACGTTGCTTCATCCGGAACGAGTTGAACACGACCGTGGGCATCTCGCAACTCTGATCTTAAACTGGCTTAAAAATCTCTCTTCTTGAATGAAGTGATTTGAGGCTTTTCGGATCTTGGAGGCTGAAATACGTACGTCAAGTGAATTTATTCGATGGTGATTCGACTCCTTAATCGCTCACTGAGCATTTCTCTTTTTCGTAAACAATCTGGCAAGAGCATTCCTCATCATTTCTTGAACTTTTGCCTTTTATTTGTGAGGGGCAAGTTTGAGTTGCAAAACTATTCACGCCTTCCTTCACTGGTTTTACAAGGGACGTGTCCAGAGATGGCAGTATAGTTTGCGAAGGGAAAGCACTAATAGCAAAACACAGCTCTAGGTCAGCATATCCCATTATTACTGTTGCAAACCAGTTTAAAGGCAAGAAATTGAACGTGATTATGATGCAGATTGCCATTTAAATTCTGTTATTCAGAAATTTTTTCTCCCTGGCCTCCCGCCGGGCAAGTATACAGGCGTTTTGAAGAAGCAGAATCCAAATTAATGAAATTGGGAGGCCGTTCCCCAGAAAAACGTCACTAACATTATCTCCATCATTTTGGGTTGGGTGAACTACAAAATTGAAGGGATTCGCTCGGTCAAGGAATCGAGAATGGCGTAAAGAAATATGCCTCATTAACAATCCCTCCCTCAAATCCGAGCTTCAAAACTGAGGGAACGGCCTTGTTTCGAATTTCAAAAGACTCTATAATGCACAACACCATTATCTTGTTGAGTTTTCACTTGCAGAGATATTTGCGCTAAAAGCCCAGTTCACGGCAATTTTGATGATCTACTTCAAGTGGAATCACGGAATCCATGGTGCAGAAAAGTGGAAGGGTGGCGAAGAAAGCTCAAAATTGATGGGCTTTGAAAAATATGTCCTCAGAAAAGTTTCAAAAAAGGGATTTGTGCGAGATGGCCATCTGGGTGTCTCACACTTTAGCGTACTATTATATTTAACTCGTCCTGTGAATGGTGGAGTTATAGCAAGGCCGGCATAACACGGCCACCTTGAGAGTGTACGTCGATCAAACCAGTTTGGGAGTGCTTATTATTTCCTGTCTAGGGTTTTTCGGCTCAGCAACGGTCCATGTACTACCTTTGATGGCCACGGGTTCTTTCTGTACTGTCGATGGACGCAGCTTGATATGGTGAAGCCTTTATTGAGGCATGCAAAGGCAATAATATTACATCAAACAGGGAGGCTTATCTACTCCATAAGGGAATTCAGGCTCTCTTCTATTTAAGTAATATTTCTTAGAAAACGAGAGAATATGAAGTATGTTTTGGTGGGTGAATAATCTTTTCGTTCGAGTGAATCATGGCGAAATTAGCTAGAAAGCCAAAAACATAATTCTGGTACAAAAACTCCGGCGAGCGGAAGATTAGTGGTCCTTTTTCGGCATAGGCTTAATAGGAAACGTAGTATGATAAGTACGTGAAATAAGTGTCAGAAGGAACAATACAATGGCCAACGAGAAGGCAAATCTTAGATCAGATACCTGAAGGAAAAAGGATTGCACAGAATAAGCGAGGCTTTGAACACCTTTCGTCACCTTTGAGAAAACATCTGAGAAAATGGATATGTCACTTGGAGAGCTTCTGCTTTCACTGCCAACACTCAGTCCGGCATCGATAAGGCCATCATCGACATACGCAAGAGTTCCCTTGATACTGTTGTTGGCAGAGCCTCCCGGGCACGACGCAGAACAGGAGATGTCGACATCAGCTGTGGAAAAATGAAACACGAGTTCATTTATGTATGTGCGTGGAATGCATTTTGCAATTTGGAGGAGATAACCGCTTTGATCGTGGCAGGCTATCAAAGCGGTTACCTCCCCTTCATCGCTTGTGCAGGCGAGTTTCAGTGTTGCTCCCGTCAAACAATTGTAACAGCCAATCAGGTCGCTTGTCTGAAATATGCAGGAGGTCTGATGCTGTTGCGCCATAAGCTTGAGACTGTCCATTCCAACATGGAGTTGAAGAACGGAGCCGACATTTAGTTTCGCGAGAACTT